TCCCGGCCATCCTTCCGCGCGAGCGAGCCAGTGCTCCCTCTCTCCCTCGCTCGCCAGCCAAAGCGGAGCCCGAGAAACCAACCGGGAACGCACTTCACTCCGCTGCCCACCAGTTGCAACAGCGCCACGCGAGCTTCGGACGCCGTACCTCTCCTCTTCTCTCCCGGCATCTCCCCCGTAAATGCCACTGCCCGGACGGTGACTCTTCGCACCTTCGTACCACCGGCCATGGCGGCGACGGCGGCGGCGGCGTACGGCGCGCTCATTGCCTCGCTCCTCCTCCTCCTCGCGGCCGGCGCCGCCGCGGACGACGGTTGGTTCCTTTCCCGTCGGCATCTTCCTTCTTTATTGCTCGGGCTGGGCGCCGGGCCGGGGAGCGGAGGCTCGATCAGGGGGATTTGGTTCGGTTAGGACCAGTATTTTATTAGCGCTGCAAGGACTTCTACGAGCTTTTGGGAGGCATCCGGGGATCCTCCGCTGCTTCGGCCGCATTTTTTATTGCCGTAACCCAGGCCTAACAGTCCTATACTAATCCCGGCGAGTGGCGCCCCCTCCTCCTCCTCCCACCGTCTCTTCCCTTTTTTGATGCCGCTACTATTTCGGAGCGGTAGCCACGGGCTAGCAGCATAGTTCACCAGGTGTTTCGAACCGAGATGGATCTTCTTCCTGCTCTGCTCTATCCACTACCCTGTTCCAAGCTGCCTTTTCCTCTGCCTTATTCTGTTTCAAAACGGATGGTTTGGAGTTTGAACACGCGCTAATCTTGCACTCTCTGTGGTACAAGAGTCGTTCAGATGTGTACTAGCACGAGCTTGCTTTCCTCTGGCCTTTATATATGTGCTTGTTTTGCGGCACAATGTTCTTGGCCAGACTGACAAGCACATTGCTAACCACCGGGAATAATCCTAGTACCCCTCGCTTTATTCCTCGGCGCGGCCCTGTTTTCTCCCTTTCCAAATCCCATGTTCTTGTAGTATTGTGCCGAGCCGAGAAGCTTTTCTTGCCGTGAAGACGAAGAAAGATCATTGCTACCATCTTGGGCAGCTCATCTTTTTTCGCTGTTTTTTCTTTTCTAACCAAATACGGTGATCTTGTTTTTCGGGGCAGCTCCGCCTTTTGTTGTGATCTTCATTTAATCTGTTTTTGCGGCCATTTTCTTCTGCTAATGCTGCTATGGTTAATGGTTTTACACCGTCTCGTCCTCCAGGGGCGGCGCTGCTGGAGGTGAAGAAGTCGTTCCGCAACGTCGGCAACGTGCTCTACGACTGGTCCGGAGACGACCACTGCTCCTGGCGCGGCGTCCTCTGCGACAACGTCACCTTCGCTGTCGCCGCGCTGTAAGATTCACACCGCCCGCCGGCCGCCCCGTTTAAACTCTCCGCCCCTTTTGCTCCCCCGCCGCGCCACCGCGGTGTCTCCGGTCGCTGACGCCGTGTTTTCATCCAATGCCTTGCAGCAACCTCTCCGGGCTCAACCTCGAGGGCGAAATCTCTCCGGCCGTCGGCGCCCTGAAGAGCCTCGTCTCGATGTACGGAAATGCCGCTCCTGCTCGCCGTCGTTCAGCTTTTGTTTTTCTTGCTTGGCCTGTGTTGGTACTAATAACCTGTTGGATTTGGGCGTGCAGTGATCTGAAGTCGAATGGGCTGACCGGCCAGATCCCGGACGAGATTGGGGATTGCTCGTCGATTAAGACGCTGTGAGTGGTCTCTTAAAAAAATGGATGTTCAAAGTTTGGGTCTGGGAAACTGCTCATGATTTGACGTTTGTTCCTCATCTACTAGGGATTTGTCCTTCAACAACTTGGATGGCGACATACCATTCTCGGTGTCCAAGCTCAAGCACCTCGAAACCTTGTAAGCTCTGTTTTTGCTGAAATGTACATCTCGTCCTACTACCAGTAAGCAGCAAGTCCTTTGAATGTTGTGAGTGATTATGTTGTGTGGCCCGTGTGATTTCCTAGGATATTGAAGAACAACCAGCTGGTCGGCGCGATCCCGTCGACGCTGTCGCAGCTCCCAAATTTGAAGATTCTGTAAGTTGCAGCTTGGTTCATATGTTGTGGATCTGCTGGGTGTTTTCAGAATCTCTAATTTTATGTGCATGCACCCTAGGGACTTGGCACAAAACAAACTGAGTGGGGAGATACCAAGGCTAATCTATTGGAATGAGGTTCTTCAATACTTGTAAGTCTTGAATTTCTGTGCCATACAAAGATTGGTTCTAGTGCTAATACTGCAGCACTACTATCCAATGCTGTTTTTTCTCTTTCCATTTGGCTAAATCGAGTTGATCGTGCTTAGGGGTTTGCGCGGCAACCAATTGGAAGGAACCCTCTCCCCTGATATGTGCCAGTTGACCGGCCTTTGGTACTTGTAAGTATGCTCCTTACGTATCTTGAACCGCATTGCGTCGTGTATCCTGTTTCTGGCGCTAACACTACACTCACTTGACCAGTGACGTGAAGAACAATAGCCTGACTGGGGAGATACCAGACACCATTGGGAACTGTACTAGCTTTCAGGTCTTGTACGTATTTACACTCTTGCCCCTTTGAAATTATGTCAATTTCTTCAATTTTTTGAAGTTTTTCTAACATTTTGCAATGGTAGGGATTTATCTTACAATCATTTGACTGGATCAATCCCTTTCAACATTGGCTTCCTTCAAGTTGCTACACTGTATGTGGTTATTTCAACCATTCCTCTTAAGTCGTATGCCTTACAGAGTTAACACTAATCTGCAAAATTGCATATCATTTATATCAGGTCCTTGCAAGGGAACAGGTTCACTGGTCCTATCCCATCTGTTATTGGCCTCATGCAGGCACTTGCTGTACTGTAAGTCGTGCGATGAGCTCTATGTTCTACATTCTTTCTTGTTGGTGCAATATATATAATTGATATGACCTTTAACCATTCCAGAGATCTGAGTTACAACCAACTATCTGGCCCTATACCGTCGATACTGGGAAACTTGACATATACTGAGAAACTGTAAGCTTCCGTTGTCTGCATGAAAGTTGTCTACATGAATATTTCCTGGTCAATAATATGATATATCGTGGGCTTGCAGATACATGCAAGGCAACAAGTTAACTGGGACAATACCACCAGAACTTGGGAATATGTCAACGCTTCATTACCTGTGAGTGACATCATTTTTCTTGTTTTTATGTATTCAAATTCAGGTTATCTGGCATTCTGTTTTTGTTGACAAGTATCTAAATTCAGAGAACTAAATGATAATCAACTTACTGGGTCCATTCCGGCGGAGCTGGGAAAGCTTACAGGCTTATATGACTTGTAAGTCTTTTCAAGTCATTCTTGAAATCTGTAATGATTTTCTGAGTGTGGTAATCAAACAAGCTGCTTATGTTTTGTTACTCGTGTTTCTCAGGAACCTTGCAAACAACAGCCTAGAAGGACCAATTCCCAACAATATAAGTTCTTGTGTGAATCTCAATAGCTTGTAAGCATTGCAACTCTCTTGTGCAGCACGCACAGTTTCAGAAATATATATTGATGCGTTGTTTCTCCTTTACAGTAATGCCCATGGCAACAAGTTAAATGGGACCATTCCTCGTTCGTTGTGTAAACTTGAGAGCATGACGTCTTTGTAAGTTCTGATTTTTAGATCAAGTTATAATGGATTTCATCCTTAAATTGTGCTATGATAAAGTCGACTGAATTGTACCCTTTTGATTTTAAATTGTTTGATATGCATAGTGCATACTGATCTGCAATATTGTAACCTTGTTCACTATTGACCTGTGTTCACCTGTTTATTCAGGAATCTGTCGTCAAATCATTTGAGTGGTCCTATTCCTATTGAGCTTTCAAGAATCAACAATTTGGACATCTTGTAAGTCCAATTATCTCAAAAGTTCTTGAGAACATTGTTTTTTCTTCTGTCACCTATATAATGAAGATACGTGTATCAGGGATTTATCCTGCAACATGATTACTGGTCCAATTCCATCGGCCATCGGCAGCTTGGAGCATCTATTGAAACTGTAAGTCTTTGCCATTATGATTATTTTTTTGTTTCCATCATCATATATTAATGTTTGGAACTCTTTTCTCTAGTAACCTGAGCAAGAATGCTCTTGTTGGATTCATCCCTGCCGAGTTTGGGAACTTGAGGAGTATCGGTGAGATGTAAGTACCTGGTGATCTAATGGTGAATTCTATCAATGATCAGTTCCTTGAACGTTCTATTGAATAACTCTGGTCTTATTTCAGTGATCTGTCCAACAACCATCTTGGTGGTCTGATTCCTCAAGAACTTGGAATGCTGCAAAATCTGATGTTGCTGTGAGTTCTAGCTTTTCATGTCACATAATTTTCCTAAATCTGTATATTCAGTAGAAGGTTCAGTATGTAGTCTTCAATTGATCATTGATTCATCTGTCATCATTCGCTCTTGCAGAAAACTGGAAAATAACAATATAACTGGGGATGTCTCTTCACTGATGAACTGCTTCAGCCTAAATACTTTGTAAGTTATCAAAGAAGTTTTAGGCATGTTTGGATGTTTGGCTTTGCTGACATGATCTTGCTGCTCCTGGAACAGAAATATATCATTCAATAATTTGGCTGGCGTGGTCCCTACTGACAACAACTTCTCACGGTTTTCGCCTGACAGGTAGAGTGCTCCATCATTTCAATCACTGTTTCATTCTTACTACCAGATTTGGAAACAGTAGTTTAACCATCCGGCCCTTCCTTCAGCTTCTTGGGTAATCCTGGCCTTTGTGGATACTGGCTTGCCTCGTGCCGTTCCTCCAGCCACCAAGAGAAACGTAAAGACACTGTTTCATTATCAATTCCTTTCAAGTATATATACTTACTTCGTTTCTAATTACCGTCATCTCTGCCCTGGATTTTCTATGCAGCACAAATCTCGAAGGCTGCGATACTCGGCATTGCTCTGGGTGGGCTTGTTATCCTCCTGATGATTTTAATAGCCGTTTGCAGGCCGCACAGTCCTCCTGTTTTCAAAGATGTCTCTGTTAGCAAACCAGGTAATGCATCTTCAGGAGTTTTAAACCTTCTGTTTCAGTATATCTGTTACTTACCTTATTGGCAAGATTTATGTTGTCGTACAAGTCATGCCGAGATCATTAATGTTTCTCACCAAACTATAATATCTTGTGGGCTTACCTTGACTGCCCACTCGTAGACCATAGTTGATTCCTGGAACAGTATCAGTCAGTTCTAATAAATCTTCATGTTGTTGCAGTGAGCAATGTCCCCCCCAAGCTAGTGATACTTAATATGAACATGGCCCTCCATGTCTATGAAGACATAATGAGGATGACTGAGAACTTGAGCGAGAAATACATCATTGGGTATGGGGCATCAAGCACAGTTTATAAATGTGTTCTGAAGAACTGCAGACCGGTGGCAATCAAGAAGCTGTATGCCCAGTACCCGCAAAGCCTGAAGGAATTTCAAACTGAGCTTGAGACTGTCGGCAGTATCAAACACCGGAATTTAGTGAGTCTTCAAGGATACTCCCTATCACCTGTTGGGAATCTTCTCTTCTACGAGTACATGGAAAATGGCAGCCTCTGGGATGTTTTACATGGTAAGTGCGCACTGCAAACTCGTTCCAAATGCCGAGAATGGTTTAGTACAAGTGATCAATAGCTAGCACTGACGTTGTTTCAATGTCGATAGTCTTTGTTTGCTGATCTGTCACAAAGCTGTGAAAACCAACTTGTCACTCTCAAAATAGTTGATGCTTTGACACATTTGCAGTCCTGCTTATTTATTGGTTGCTAACAGTTGGAGAACTATTACCGTATCATAACACTGTTCTTTTTAATTCTACTAGAAGGTCAATCCAAGAAGAAAAAGCTCGATTGGGAGACTCGCCTTCGGATCGCTCTCGGTGCTGCTCAAGGCCTTGCCTACCTTCACCATGACTGCAGTCCGCGGATAATCCACAGGGATGTAAAATCAAAGAATATCCTCCTCGACAAAGATTACGAGCCACACCTCACGGACTTTGGCATTGCGAAGAGTTTGTGTGTTTCAAAAACACACACGTCGACCTATGTCATGGGCACTATTGGCTACATTGATCCCGAGTACGCGCGCACTTCCCGCCTCAACGAGAAGTCCGATGTCTACAGCTATGGCATCGTCCTGCTCGAGCTGCTGACGGGCAAAAAGCCCGTGGACAACGAGTGCAATCTCCATCACTCGGTAACTACCTGCCTTTCCACTCTCCTAGTTCTTCAGGTTGATGTGTCATTTTCCTCAGCCTATTTAGCCTTGGATTCTGGTAGTGCCAATAATTGCTGGATGAACTCCATTAGGCTTTTATGTTCGTCCAAGGGGACCAGCAACATGAACCCTATCATGTGAGTAGATCTATCTGCACTGTGGACCTGTGGTGTGCTCTGATCCATCGCATATGGCCATTGAAAGCTCCATTATAGTAGGTTGCAGTGTTCCGTCCCCTAAAGCCTGCCATTTTTGTCTCCCCAGTTGTCAATCATGCAGATGGAAAGCTACAAATCGCACTGTCACACTCACCAAATATTGTCAACTTTTCGTTTGCTCCCCTGCCATTTAGCGTGGAAACAAATTTCATGAATTTCTTTCGTGTTCTGTTGCGATGCAGATCCTATCGAAGACGGCGAGCAACGCGGTGATGGAGACGGTCGACCCGGACATCGCCGACACGTGCCAGGACCTCGGCGAGGTGAAGAAGGTGTTCCAGCTGGCGCTGCTGTGCACCAAGAAGCAGCCGTCGGACCGGCCGACGATGCACGAGGTGGTGCGCGTGCTGGACTGCCTGGTGCACCCCGACCCGCCGCCGAAGGCCGCCCAGCCGCAGCCGCCCACCGGCCCGAGCTACGCCAACGAGTACGTGAGCCTGCGGGGCGCCGGCACGCTGTCGTCGTCCTGCGCCAACTCGTCGAGCACGTCGGACGCGGAGCTGTTCCTCAAGTTCGGCCAGGCCATCTCCCACAACACGGAGTAGGACTTTGAGGCCGCCGCTCTGGTAACTCAGGCGGCGGCGGGGGATGCAGGTCAGTCAGACGAGTAGTAGCACCCACATTTTGTCTAAATATGTGCCGGAGGTTAACCAAGAAAGAGACTGGATCGGTGGCGTTCTCCCCTGTAAAAAGGCCATGTATTTTCTTTCTCTTCCTCCCCCTCTTATCTCTAACCTAGTAGGAGGTTTCGATGGATCTCTCTTCTTTTCTGCGACCGTTCTTGGACTGGAACGATGTGAATTGGCTGATCTTGTAAGGATGTCGGTAGCAATGTCTCTCTCCTCTGTGTGTCTGCTCACGCTGGCTGTAGAACTAATTCAGTTACCTGAGTCAGTGGGGGAGAACCTGGTGTGAGAACTAATTCATTTACCGGAGATCTATTGATTTTCTCCCGGCTCCGGCATTGATGCGTGGCTGTGCCGTGCAGGTGTCGCGGGGCTCATGCTGGCCTTTGCTTTGTCCGGAACATGTCAGCTGAGGCGTTAATGGCGTGAAGGTGCAGCGGGGCTGGGGCCCGACGATGGGAGGGGATGAGATGGGCCGGACTTGCCCCGTGAAAAAGAAAATTCCTTATTTGACACTGTCTTAAAATCTGGTTCCTTATTTGACACTGGAAAAGTTTTTCTTCCCTATTTGACACTAGTCTTAAATTTTATTCTCTATACGACACTTCCGTTCATTTTGAGCCTAAATGACACCTGAAAAGATGATTTTGCCCCTCATGCGGTATGTGTGTGCGCGCGTGTGCTGTTGCGTGTGTGGGTGCACACGCACATGTGTGCTGCTGCTGCATGTGTGCCGCTGCGTGTGTGTGTGCGCGCGCTGTTGCGTGCCTATGTGCTGTCTGCGTGTGTGCTGCTGCTGCGTGTTTGTGTATGTGTGTGTGCTGCATGCGTGTGTGTTGCTGCATGTGTGCGTGCGCGTGCATGTGTGTTGCTGCGTGTGTGTGCGTGTGTGTGTGTACGTGCGCGTGCGTGTTGTTGCGTGTGTGCGCGCGTGCGTGTGTGTTGGTGCATGTGTATATGTTGCTGTGTGTGCTCCTGTCCTTGCACTGGTGCTGCGTGTGTGCGCTATTGCCCCCTACACACATACCACATGAGGGGCAAAAGAGTCTTTTCAGATGTCATTTAGGCTCAAGATGAATGGAAATGTCATATAGGGAATAAAATTTAGAACTTGTGTCAAATAGGAATTTTTTTTTCAGTGTCAAATAAGGAAGCAGATTTTAAGATAGTGTCAAATAAGGAATTTTCTCATGAATCTTTGATGATTGATGGAGGGGTGAGTGGGCGGGGCGAAGTGGGGGCAGGGCGGTGCCGTCGTTGCTGGTGGGATGGCAATGCGGCGCGGGTCTCGTGAGCGCCGGTACTGGAACTGAACTCGGCTGGGGCCTGGGTACGTGGGGATGTATCGGGCCGCGGGGAGAGAGCCGCCGCCGTGGAGATGGTGGTGGTAGCCTGGTAGGGCAGGGTGGAGTAGCGGTGGGACGATGAGATGGCGATGGATTGCGGTAACCGTCGTGTTCGGGGCGCATCTGATCAGGCTCGGGGGCTGTCCTGGTGCGGCGGTGCCCGGGCGGTTTTTTTCCCGAGAGTACGCAAATTGCGTACCTTAGCTTTATTTTTTTTGCGGGGAGAAAACATTTCATTACTTAAGCAATAACAGTTTTACAATCATCGGTAATGATAGCGCTAATCTCCTGGGGAGCATTTGCAAGCCAACAAGCTGTGCGATGTTGTCCACGACCAATTGCCGCCATTGCATGCCCAGCTTTATTTTGCCCACGACTAATTTTATGGATTTCAGTGTGGCGTTCGTTGAGCAGATGCACTATCTCAGTAACTTGGTGCATATTTCTGGATCGATCACCCCGCCCAGCTTTTACAAGGGTGATGATCTCGGCACAGTCCGTCTCAACCTGAAGCGAGGCTTGAGACCAATGCAGAGCTAGACGGAGACCTTCCTCACAAGCTGCTAGTTCTGCTTCTAGGGGTCCCTCGCAATCAAACAGCCATCTGCAGGCAGTAAAGATAACATGCCCTTCATGGTCCCGTAGAATCATTCCGGCACCCGCAGCACCATTTTCTGCCACAAATGAGCCATCAAAATTAAGCTTCACATGTCCTGCTGGTGGGGGTTCCCATTTAACTTTAGGTTTTGCATGGGTCACGGTATGAACTATTGTTGTGGTATTTGCACTGAGGTTAGCAGGAACCTTGCCTTTAGTGAAATCAGCGTGTGGATAGTGTGTGATCATTAGTAGGTGGTCTGCATACCCACACAAGAATTTCTTGGAAGCTTCAACAGAAATCAATGGCTTGTCATGTGTTACCTCATTGTGCACATGCCACACCCGCCAAAGTACCATGAGAAGGAGCATGCGTTGTGTGTCATTGAGCTGCTGGATTAACATGAGCAACCAATCAGGTTCAGAGTTCCATAGTGCTTCATCTGATGGGAGATCCCACACAGATTTCATTGCATCCCATAGGTGCCTAGCATGAGGACATCGAGGAGTGCATGGTGTGTCGTCTCTTCCTCTAGCCCACAGATCGTGCATATACCATCAGGTTCCATGTGCCTACGCTGCATGTTGCTTCGAGTGGCTAATGCTTCGCGCACAGCTTTCCAAGCAAAGATACATACTTTAGGTGGTGCTCCACATTTCCACAGGAGGTTCCATGCTGGTCTGAATCCATCAGGTCTTGTGCTAGACTCACCGACACACTGCCGGGCCATGATATTATCTCTGATCATGTTATACGCTGAGCGGACTGAGAAACGCCCATGTTTGTCTGGTCGCCATGCGATAACATCATCCCCAAACCACTTAGATGCCTTGATTTTCAATATATTTGCGACGTCTATTGGGAAAAAGTGTTGCCTGAGGATTGGAACATTCCATGTGCCATCCGCGTTTAGAAGTTCGGCCACCCATTTGAGTCTGCAGCGGCGCTTAGGCGTGATCGGTTTGAAAGGTGCACCATTTGGGATCCAGGGGTCGCGCCATATTCTGATGTTTGTTCCATTTCCGACACGCCATATATACCCTTGCTTTACCAGTTCCAAGCCATGTTCAATAGCCAGCCAAGTGCTTGACCCATTACCTGTAAAAACTATATCTGTAATATTGCCAGACAGGTAGTACTTTGCACGGAGAACCTGAGCACAAAGGCTATCCGGAAATTCTATGAGACGCCATGCTTGACGTGCTAACAGAGATTGATTAAACAACCAAAGATCATTGAAGCCCATACCACCTCTTCCTTTAGGCCGTAGCATGCTGTCCCAACTGACCCAGTGGGTCTTGCGTTTTCCTTTCTCTGCTCCCCACCAATACTGACGGATCATCTGTGTTAAATCATCGCATAGGCCAACTGGGAGTTTGAAGACACTCATAATATACACCGGTAGTGTCTGCGCCACAGCTTTGATTTTTATCTCCTTCCCGGCCATGGATAGATGATTATCACCCCATTCCATTAGGCTCTTTGCTAGCTTCTCCTGTAGGCTCTTTAGTTTCCCTTTGCTCATCCTGCCATCGGGTGTTGGTAGGCCAAGATATTTGGCTTCGAAGGCGGTTTGTGTGACTTGCAAGATACTCCTAATACCCTCCCGAATTCCTTGCCGACATGCCGGGCTGAACAAGATTGAGCACTTTTGTGGATTTATCATTTGTCCCGTACCTTTAGCATACACTTCCAGAACATGCTTCACTCTATGTGCTTGCCCCACTTCTGCTTTAAAGAACAAAAGTGTATCATCGGCAAAAAGCAAGTGTGATATACCTGGTGCTCGCTGGCATACCTTAAGAGGAGTTATTGTGCCTTGTGTTGCTTCATGTTGCATCAGTGCAGAGAGACCATCAGCAACAAACAAGAACAAAAACGGAGACAGTGGATCACCTTGGCGAAGACCTCGAGTTGGGGAAATCGAATCAAGTAGGGTTCCATTGAATTTTACGGAATAGCTCACCGAGGTCACGCAGGACATGATCCAATCAACCCATCGGGGAGCAAAACCCAAGCTTTGCATCGTTCTTCTAAGAAAATCCCAGTCAACTCTGTCATACGCCTTTGATAGATCCAGCTTGTATGCACAGAAGGAGTCTTGTTGTTTCTTGCAGTGTTCAGTACTGTGAAAACATTCAAATGCCACCAGTGCATTATCAGTCATCATACATCCAGGAACGAAGGCACTCTGGTTTAAGGAGACAATCTCACCCAATAATGGACGCAGTCTGTTCACCAGGCATTTGGCGACGATCTTGTACAACACCGAGCACAAACTGATGGGCCGGAAGTCCTTCAATGTCTCTGGTTGATCAGACTTGGGGATCAAGACAATAGCGGTTGCATTTGTTTCGGATGGCATGTGTCCAGTTGTGAAAAAATAGCCTTACCGCAGCAACCACAGAATCCTTTAAAACAGCCCAATTTCTTTGATAAAACCTAGCTGGGAACCCATCTGGTTCTGGGGCTTTCAGTGGTCCTATTTGGAATAGTGCATCTGCATTTCCGTCTCCGAGAACTCCTTGCATAATGTCTAATTCATCTCATCTGTCACCTTCTTCTCTATGAGACCAACAATCTCATCAGCATTTGGAGATGGGTCACGCGTGAATAATTCCTTAAAAAAGGATGAGGCCATTAGTTCCATAACTGACGGAGTAGACTGCCAAACACCGTCATCATTTTTCAGTTTTGAGATTTTATTTCTGCGTGCTCGCCAAACCGATCTGTTATGGAAGAACTTGGTGTTACGGTCCCCCTCTTTTAGCCAATCTATGCATGAACATTGTAGCTAGAGGAGTTCTTCCTGGTAGAGTAGCTCATTCATGTTATCAGACAATTTTCTTATTTCATGTTGGTCACCATCAGTTTGCAACAGATGATCCAGTTTCCTACGCATTACATTACCAAATCTCCTTCGGCTCCAACCTTGTAGATTTTGCATGACTGCATGCAGACCAGTCGTAATAGAT